TGATCTTAACCATTGTCTTTTCCCTCCCTCCCTGGGACAAAACCCCACCTGATCCTCTTGTATCCATTCTGGCATTAGCTCTTTCAATCTATTTGCTAGGACTTTTGCATATATCTTGATATCGGTGTTCAATAATGAAATAGGTCTAAAGCTCGAACACTGTGAGGGTCTTTTCCCTCTTTTTGTATGAGCACTACTTGGGCTTGTAATGATTCTCTTCTTATTTCCATCTCTCCACCTAGAGCGTTCATATAATTTCTAAGTTTTGGTTTATTAAAATTTCACTAAATTTTTTATAATATCTGGCTGTATATCCGTCTGGCCCTGGGCTTTTCCCCGACACCACTGACCCCTTCAGAGCTAATTTTATTTCCTCCTGTGAGATATCTACATCTAGGGAGTTCAGTTGGTCCTCACTTAGTTTTAGTAAACCCCTGCCATTCCAGGTATTTCTTTCTTTTTTGATCTTCTCACTTTGTATTGTTTTCTACTCCTTCCAGGGGACTTATATTATACAGTTTCCTGTAATATTCTGTGAAGGCTTTGATGATATTTTTATTTGAATGCAACATGATTCCTTTAGCATCTTTTATTTTTTCTATATAATTTCTATTTTCTCTTTTTCCTCAGGGCTCTCATCAGATATTTTCCAGGTCTTTCTCCCCATCTATATCTCTCACTCAAAACTCTGTTATATACTTTTCTCCTCTCCTCTTCTATCACTTCTTTCAATTCTTCTTGCTTTTTTTTTAACTTCAGCTCTATTTCTTTTGTTATCCTGTTCTTATGTATTTGTTCTTTTTTACTTATATCTTCTAAGAGGTCACTCATTTTTCTCCCTTCTTTCTTTTTTCTTTCTTGCCCCAATTGCCATTAATATTCCTTCTTATATATGCTTTGTGAGTTTCCCACACTGTGGCTGTTGATACTCTACCTGTCTCATTCTCCTTAAAAAAGCGTTCGATCTCCTGCCCTATTTTCTGAGCTTATTTCCTTTTTCCACTAAAAGTGTCCTCATTCAATTTCCATCCAGCCCTCCGATTTTCCTCCTCCCCATTCCATTTTCATGATAACTGGGGCATGGTCTGATAAAGATATGGCTCTATTTCTACTTGGATCAGATGGTTCGATTGATTGATTGTTCTATTAATATATAATCTAGTCTTGAATATCTCTTATGCATATTTGAAAGAAAGTATAATCTCTATCTTGCATATGTGTAATTCTCCAGGAATCTACAATTGACTTATGTGTAATTACTTTTTTCAATAATTTCAGGGCCCTATTTCCCTCTCTTTTTGTATGGGAGGTGGCGTCCCTTTGTGGATCCATACAAAAAGTTAAAAGTCCCCTGCCAAGGATCAAACGTCCTTTTTAAAAGTCCATCAACTTCCTCAAACACTTTTTTCAGATACCGCCTCGGTTTTTTTATTTAGGACAGTAGATGTTGGCCAGTGTACACTCAATCTCTTGTAACTTGCCTTTAAAAACAAGAATCTCCCATCTGGGTCTGTCTTTCTTATCTTCCAACTCAAACCTAATATTCTTTGCCATACCTATTGCTACCCCTTTTGCTCTTTTAAACCGGGGAGTCTGCGTTAGGTACCATGTTGGGTGATTTCTAGACCTCAGCCTAACATTTGACTTTATCTCAAGATGTGTCTCCTGTAGAAATATCATGAGGCAGCCCTATGGTGTAGTTTCTTTAAATACTCTATATCTTTTCCCAGGGCAGTTCATCCCATTTAACATTATATGTTATAAACTGAATCTCTTCCATCTTCCTTAATTTTCCTCTTTTTTCCTCTCATGGGGGGGGTGGGGGGGGGGGGGGGGGGGGGGGGTTATTTTTCCTTTTCTCTCCCCTTTTCTCATTTCCTCTTCTTCTCCCTTCTTCTCCTCTCCTCCTTCTCCCTTCTCACTTGCTTTTATAACTTCTTTTATCTTGCAGAAATAAACATCCCCCCTCTCCACATTTCCCACCCTTCCAACCTCCCCGCTCCCCCCCTCCCCCCCCCTCCCCTACCCCTCTTTTAGGCCCATCATTTGCCTACTAATCATATTTGGATTGTTTTATGGAATGTTAGATCCACTTTTTGATTTAATCCTCTGGGCTAAGACTAAGACTCCGTCCTATGGGCGACTTCCCCTTGTCTAACCTCCCCATAACCTCCCAGGTCCCATCCAGATTTAATCTCAGACCACAATAAAACGAGGAAAGGTGGGGGGGGAGGAGAAAAAAAAAAAAAAAAAAAAAAAAAAGGAAAAAACCTATTTCTCCTCCTCCTCCATCCCTCTCCCCCCCCCCCTTACCACCCAGCCTCCTTCCCCCCCACAAGCTGCCAGTCTTCTTTTCTCTTCGTTCTATTTTCCCATTGTTCTCTTCCCAGCCAGGGATTTCCAATTCTTTGAATTTTTTTAAACTATCAAAAAAAATTTTTCAAGTCTTCTGGAAACTGAGGTATGCTGTAGTCCCGTTTTTTCCATCCTATTAAGCATTCAGGGGTCCCCCATCTATATTGCACAAATAAAAACAAATAAAAAAAAAAAATTTATTAAAAAAAGTTAATTATAAATTAAAATACATTTAAAATAATATAATATTTGCACATTTTGTTCTTTCAATCTTTCCAATAGGGGTCTCAAAGATCTCCTTCTCCACAGAGTCTCTGGGCCAGATCCGCATATATCTGTATGTCTCCTCCTTCATATTTAAATTACTGATTTTCCTTTGGTCTTCTTCCAGATTTTTTCTTTATCCCGGAGCTCATAGAATTGTACTAATATATCTCTCGGCCTTTCTTTCCCTGGACTCTTTGAATTTTTCCTTTTCTTAAAAAGTTCCTTCTAATTTTAGCGTCCTATCCATTTCAGGGCTGTCTGTTATAGTATTAAGTATTTTACAAACCACCTCTTTGCAGACTTTCTCCCTTTGAGTTCTCTGGGACCCCACGTAATCAGGATATTTCTCTTCCTGTCTTTGTTTTCTTGTATCTCAACCTTATATAGCAGTTTTTCTTGGGCTTTCCCTATGTTAGTTATTTTCTTTTTCTAGTTCAAGGATCGCCTGGGTCTGACTCTTAACCTTCTCCTCCGTTTCTTCAACTCTCTCCAGCAGGTGTATCCAGATCGCTACGGATATTTACCATTTCTTGTTTTATTGTTTTCTCCAATTCTTTAAACATTTCTGCCATTTCTTTTTGTTAGGTAAATTTGTAATCTTTTCCCATCTCTATAAATTGCCTGATATTTTGTTGGTTGCTAGTATCTAGGCCTAATGATACTCTGGGACTACTTTCCATACTAAAGTCTACTTTTCCTTTTTTCAGTCCTGCTCTGGGATCTTTCTGGGGTTACATTTCCTTGGAAGGTATATATTTTTTAATTGTATACCAGTCTGGGACCCTTTAAGCCCAAGATTCCTTTCACGTTTTTATTTTCATTTTCCTCCGTGGCTTATTATTACTTCTTATACTCCTATAGGATTTTGTATGTAAGGAGGGATATGAAAACAGTTCTTTCACCTTCAAATCTCCTCCCTGACACCCTGTTGATTTTTTTTTTTTTTTTTTTTTTTTTTTCCTTCCTTTCTTCTCCCCAAGCTCCCCTTCCCTCGGGCCTCTTCCTCCTTTTTATACAGTCTCTGGGGGCCCCCCTTTCCCTTACTCCATGCTTCTCTTTAGGGGTCCATTCTGAACATCACATCGAGAAAATATAAAGTACAGTCATGGTCACACTCACCCTCCTTATATATTTTCTTCTTTGTGAGTGCTCTCACTCGCCAGAGTTCCTCCCAAGATTCCGTTTGTGGGAGGGGGGGGGGCAACTCCCCAGACTCTCCTCGATCTCCTTGTCCTGGTTTAGAAGGATCTTCTCTGTTGCTTTTAGCTAGGGGGGTTTCAAGGTGCCAGGGGGAGATTGAAATCGGCCACCGGCAACGGGTCGGCGCAGCTCTCTCACTGCAAAACGCCGGCCGGGGCACTCAAATGGCCGGCTTTCCGAACTCCCAGTGATGCTTTGCGCGGCCGGTCACGTGTTCCTCCTTTCGTCTCCCGGCATTCAGGGACTCTCTCTCTGCCGATCTCCAGCCGCTCCTCTCTCTCTCCACGCCCGCACCCAGCTCTTCTCAACAGGGACCGTCGGGCCAGGGTAAGTCCTCCGCCACATAACTCAAAACATGCTGGAGGCTTGGGGAGGCCAGACAACGGAGTTCCGTCCACGAGCTCCTACATTGAGCTCTCCCACGCCGCCATGTTCAGGCCCCGCCCTCGATTCCCTCTAAATTTCTGTAATGCAGGCCATACATGGTTTGAAAATCCAAATGATTTTTTTTCGTCCAAAAAATTGAAAACGTCGTTTGCGTGGTAATCTGATGGTTCAAATCCATGATTTTGAAAATCGGTCCGACCAAGTCATAACGTTCACCTCATATAACAGGCGAAACTTCTGTACCTTCCAGGTCACTGCTCATGGGCATATTCTTTTCGGAAAAACTACCGTTCGATTTGACCATCGAGACGAAAATTGGTCTTTTTTCACAAATTTTCCAAACATACCCGATCACCGAAAAGGGGAGGAACCACAAAAATTGGACTGTGCCATTGACCCACTAACAGAGCAAAAAATCGACCGATTCTTCTTAGGTCCGATTTTCGGATGAAAAAATCGGATGAATTTTGACCCATGTATGGCTGGCATAAGTCTACAGGGCAGTAAATCAAGGAGAATATACCTAATGACACACAGATGGCAAAAAAGTAAAAAAAAAACTGACAGCAGTTTTATCCTTTTAAGGTTTTTGCTTTAGATATACTTTACGCTTTGACTTTAGATTTACTTTAATCATGATTATGCCTGTCTGCCTCTCATAGTGACAGGTTACCATTATGACTAATAGCATCTCCTTAGTCTGCTTGTTTTCCTTTCAAAGATTAGATGGTCTTTTAGTTCCTATGCTGTTTGTAAAGCCACCTAACATTTTGTGCATGCGTGTTTCTAATGCTGGCTTACACCACTGTGCTGTTTTGCAGTCTTGGGACATCTTCTTCCGGAATGCCAATGCCGGTGCTGCACCTGGAACCGCTTACCAGAGCCCCCCACCATTTGGTACCAGCCTGTCTGCACTGACCCAAGCACAGTCATTAGTTAAGGGTCAGCCAAACATCGATAAGCTAGTGGAAGATCATCTGGCTGTGCAATCCCTCATCCGTGCTTACCAGGTATGTCTCCAGCCCCTTCTCTGGCTCTTGCACATTTATATTTCATATACATGTTATACTAAAAATACTCAATAAATGAGACCTCCAGAGGGTAGGGCGAAACTGAAATATATATTTGACTTACTTTATGGGTCACCCCCAGTCTATTCCCCAAAAATTCTCTCAGCCAGTGCTACTTCTTTCAAACCTTAATGATACATTTACTTGAGTGTATCAAAGTTTCCTGCAGTTATCTGGATTACAGCATTAAGGACTCAAAGGCAAGTCAGATATGTATTTAACTGTCTATATTCCCATCGCACACGGTCCTGGAAAAGGCTCTAGGATACTGGGTGCTGCAGCAATCACCAGCTGGAGACTGGATCTTTCATGACACAATGTAGATATTTGTCAGAACACCACAGATCCTCAAGTTGTCCAAATGGCTTTATTGAAGTATGGCTGGGGATCTGTGAGCTGATCCCCTGCTGATCGGGGCGAATGACAGGTCCATGTCTGCTCAGGTTTTGCAGTGCGAACACGAGCAGACCCTGCTCTATTTTGTGGGAGGCCCAGGACTAAACAGACTCCGCTGTCCGTTTGCACCCAGCTGCCTCTGTCCAGTTCCCCTAAACGCAGTCCTCCTCCATTTTTTTTAGTGGACCTGATTGGACCCAGAACTAGGTGTGTGAAAGGGCCCTTAAAGTGTAACTAAACTAATGACCCTGCATTCACTATATCTGGTCTCCCACAGTGCACAGATCATGGAAGCGCAATTATTTTAGTAAATATAAACTGCTAAATACCTTTTCACATCCTTGGTTAGAGTAGTCTTGTGACTTCTATCAGTGTCCAGCAGAGCACTAGTTAAAGCTTGTAGGAGGAATTTTCATTCTGCTCTGACTGCCTATGAGGGTGCATAACCCCTGACCCTGTCTGGATAGTGCTGATTGAACGCACCTTCTCAAAGAAAACAAAAAACTCTCTTGAAATACACACCCAACTGAGCATGTGCAGAATGACTGCTAGAGCTCTGTACTATCAGAAGATAGATTGGGGACATTAGGAGGATCAGAGAATACAGGATCAGACAGCCTTTTTACACAATGCAGAGAATTAGCCCCTTAGGTTCCACAGTGAGTATAAGCATGCTTTACTGCATATACAGACTGATTTTTACTGTTTTGGGCTTAGCAACACTTAAGCCTTACCTCAGGGAAAGAGGTAAATACATAAACATGTGAACCTATTTATATGCAAATGATTTGTAATTTTATTCAGTCAGTTTTGAGACACGCACATGCACACTCTCTGCTTCCCCAGTTGACCTGTGTAGTACAAAGGACAATTTTAATTGGCATAGTTATAAGATTACATCTTAAAGGGTTAGTTCATCCTTTAAAATAAAAAGGTGAACACACACCCTACACTCTACCACCCTCCCCACTCTCCCGCTCCCTGCTGCACTTTTGTGGGTGATAGAAGTTCACTGTCTATGCAGCCTGGTGCAGTGGTCCTGGGGTTTGAATACTCTTCCCTTTTTTCCCTAGGGATGCTGGGACAGATTAGAGTTAGGTTCTGATTGGTAGGCTCGATCACGTGCTGGCACTGACCAATCAGAACCGCACTAATCTGTTCCTGCATCCCTAGGGAAAGAAGAGGAAGAACAGAGCAGTTTTTAAACCCAAGGACAGTTGCAGTGGGCTGAATGGACAGTCACCCTGTCACCCACAGAGGTAAGTGGGAATTGGGTGTTATTTCATCTTTTCATTTTTTTCTCTAAATGTGAATGTTAATTCACCTTTAAAAATTGCTTGCCCTGCTTTCATTTGTAATTCATTTGTTTTTCCCAAAATGGTTTCAGTTTTTGGTTGATGCTGGCAAAGGGAATTGCACATCAATAAAAAAGTTGTAAATAGCTAAACTAATTTAAGAGTGCTCATATTTAAATGCAGGTGCATTGTGTGAGTAAGAAGAAAAGAAATTAAAACAAATACTGATGTAATTAAAGAGGAGCTCCAGTCCCCCCCCCCCCCCCAAAAGTTAAAAGTCAGCAACTAGAAATACTGTAGCTGCTGACTTTTAACATAAGGACACTTGCTATCCAGGGATCTAGTGCTGTCCTCACCCAAGTCAATTCTTCAATGGGATTTGGGTCCAGGCACCGGCATCTTAACGAAGGGAAGGCTGGCGGCTTCACACTGCACATGCATGAGCCATGCTGCGCTTTGTGAATGGTCCCGCAGTCTTCTTGGACCTGTGTTGTGTCCACGAAGGCTATGGGTTAAGGGGGGTGGAGGTAAACTCGGATCGCCTAGATCAGTGGTCGGCAAGCCGCGGCTCGCGAGCCACATGCGGCTCTTTACACGCTTTAATGCGGCTCTTGTGTGCCGGGCGCCCGCTCCCCTCCCTCCTCTCGGGCGGCAGGGACTCTGCAGCGTGATCAAAAAAAAAACAGCCAGGGCAGCGCGCTCAAATGCAATGATTGGCCAGTCTCGCTGCCACTCACATCCTGATAGCCAGTGATTGGCTGTCAGGATGTGTGTAGGCGGGGCAGCGTGACAAACGTGAGAGGAGCTAGGCTCCTCTCACAGTCCGCCCTGAAGACCGGAACGGCGCGGGAGCACGGCGAGAGGAACGCGCGGAGCAAAGGTAAGTGAATTGACACGGGGGGACTTGGCTTACTACTTGGGGGGGGGGGGGGGGGGGAATAGTACTGTGGGGGATGAAATTTAATATGGGGGATGAATTAATATGGGAGATGAATTAATATGGGGGATGAATTACTATAGGGGGGATGAATTACTATAGGGGGGATGAATTACTATAGGGGGGATGAATTACTATATGGGGGATGAATTACTATACGGGGGATTAATTACTATACGGGGAAATTAATTACTATACGGGGGATGAATTACTATACGGGGGATGAATTACTATACGGGGATGAATTACTATACGGGGGATGAATTATATGGGGGATGAATCACTATAAAAACTTATTGAAACTAAAAACAGTGTACCATCCTATGTATTTTCAGTTTTAAAAATGTGGCTCTCAAAATAAATTTCAATCGTGGTTTTGGCGAGATTTGGCTCAGTTGAAAAAAAAAGGTTGCCCACCACTGGCCTAGATGATCTGGGTGGAAGTGAGAGCGCTTCCCCCCCCCCCCCAAAAAAAATAAAAATGCAAAATGTTAAAGGGGTGGGTGGGGGAGGGCAAACAAGTGGAACTTCCACTAGTTGACGTTCCACTTTAATTATCTACTGACTTGGGAAGTCAGATACATGGAGTTTGTTAAAAGAGGTAGTTAAAGGGGAACTTAACAAGTCTGCTTGAAAAAAAATCCTTGCATGTCAAAGTGTAGGGAAACATTATCATTTTTTAATAAAGCTCTATCTATTAGCAGTAAAAAGCATTCCTTAAAAGATAAGTATGGGCTTTTCTTCCCCTCCAATTATACTTAGCTAGGTAGATGGAGCATTGGTCCGATGCTGCATCTGTCCCCCTTAGGCTCTAAGGGTGATCACATGACAGCGGATTGCTGAGTTCTCACAGCTGCTGTGAGCAGAAAACACACACACACACGGCTGATAAACGAAAAATCAGTTGGCCCCGTTGCCGATGCTACCACCCGTTTTTCGTGGATTTTCCAGCATGACCAATAAAAATAAATGAGGAGATCCGCAAAAAAACGGCTGACGGGCTAGCCCCACTAACGGCGTGCTTATCAGCCGATTTTTCGTGCGGACGAACATTCGGTGGATAAATGACCCGTCTATGGCCTGCATTACACTTTTTTTTTTTTTTGGTGGGTAGGGTGGGGGAAGGAGGAGTGCTGTCACTTCTGCCCAGATCACCTAGACAATACGAGCAGCTTCAGCCCGCTGTCGGCTGAAACCCGATCATAGGAGTAGAGATCCACAGGAGTGTGATGCACAGGAAAAGTACAGCCAAAAGAGCTTTGGCTGTACTTCTTTAAACTCCAGTTAGTGACTTTTCCTAGACTGAATTAAGGTCAGCAATATGTTGCAGGCAGCAGGAAGCATTTCCATAGTCTCCTCTTCCTCTATGACCACAGTGCAACATTGTAACTTTGTAGCACATTGCAAGGTAAGAGAATGTGCCTTTCTATGCAGTAAGGTAAAAAACGTTCTGTGTGCAGCAGCCCCCCAATAGTTACCTGAGCCCCATCGCGATCCAGCAATGTGCACAAGAACCTTGGCTCCTCGGTGACTCGCCTTCCTCATTGGCTGAGTTAATAACAGCCAGTGAGCCAATGAGAGATGGGGGCGGGGCTGAGCCGCTGCTCTGTGTGTAAATGGACACGCAGAGTAGTGGCTCAGAAGCGAGCCTGCTTGGGTGCTTCCATAGCAAGCTGCTTGCTGTGGGGTCACTTGGCAGGAGGGAGGGGTCACGAGCACACTTGTTGGAGGACCTGAGAATAGGAGGATTGGGGTGCTCTGTGCAAAACCACTGCATAGAGCAGGTAAGTATGACATGTTTGTTTATATATATATATATATATATATATATATATATATATATATATTTAATATAATTTTAAGTCCACTGTAAGCACTTCAGCCCACAAGCATCTTCCAAAAACTGAAATAACACTTTCATAGCTAAACTGACCCTTTAATTATGTGTAGACTTATAAGTACTGTACTGGTTATACTGTTAATAGCTGTATTATCTACATAAGAAAAATAATGGTGACTGCTCAATGACTCATTATCCCCATGTTCAAATAAATATGTGGAACTATTAGGACATAAAGCTGTGATTTAGAGATTACACCTGCATCCATAAATATATGTTGTAGAAGTAATTACTTTCCATTAACCAAAATTGGAGAGGGGGAGAAAGTTGGTGAAGCCCTTAACACACACTCTATTTGTTAGCTTTCTGTTGAAGATTAGAAAATGTATTTATTTATAAAAGATTGTCAGATTGGGTGCTATGGGAAACATTCCTTTCTTTACTTCCCCAGTTTTGTTGTGGGGGGGGGGGGAGGTGTCATTAACCAATTTGTGTCATTGCTTCCAGGTAAGGGGTCACCACGTTGCAAAACTTGACCCCCTCGGAATTAGCTCTGTTAATTTTGATGACGCTCCAGTAATTGTCGGTCCTCCGAATGTTGGTGAGGATTCCTGTACTAAATTTGTAACTTTTTTTCTTCTCTGCTTTTCCTCCTTTTTTCCCTTTTTTTTTTTTTGTTTTTTTTTTTTGTTTTTTGTTTTTTGTTTCTGTATTTATTTTATGTGGTGCCACTGTATTCCTTCCACCTTCTGGTTCTTCCATCATCTGATTTTTGTTATTCCATTCTTCCTCAACCTACCTGTCATCTTACTGTTACTTGTCATTGCCCTGCCTTCCTCTCCTCTCCTCTTCCACAACCCTCTTCTGGCACCTCTCCTCTTTATAGATTCGTGGGCACCATGTTGCCCAGCTTGACCCACTTGGCATTCTGGATGCAGATTTGGACTCCTGTGTGCCAGCTGATATTGTCACATCCTCAGACAAACTCGGTGAGGGCCAATAGCTCTGCTAGAATGGTCACTGCTTTTGCGCTTTTCTCTCACCCCCACTATGTATGTCTACCCCTGCTCAACAGAATTGTAGGTGCAGAGTTTACAACTAACAGCTGAATTCGTCCAGGGCAGAAAATATACAGACCTAGTAATTCATCCTATGCTGCTTCTTTTAGCAAGTGTGAGTAGCAGTACCGGGCACTTCAAAACTTGCTTTATTTTTATAAGTGAATGCTTCATACGAAAGTGGATCAAGGCGAATCCTTTTTTTTTTATATGCGTTCTTATGCGTAGGTGTCACAATGTTCAGTAAAGAGAAAGTACACCTTATTGCCCACTCAACAAGAGACATACAGTAAATCCATATACAGCACAATTGAGATCTGGACTAATTGAAATGCAAAGAAATTTTAAAAACAACTTCATTTATTTCTATTCAGTAATATGTATAAAATTAATGTAAAACCTGATAAAATAAGATTAGTATCTCCATATTGAGAGGCCACTTAATAGATTGTGTTGTATCTGAAAAAATGTATCCTCATTCAAATTTAGAAGAATAAGATCTTTTGTTCAACACTGCACATGGGTAGATGACAAGTTTATAAATCCCATTTCTGGATATTTTTCAAACCAAGAGAAATCGGTAAACTTTGAGAAGATGTCTTCACTGACTGAAAATTATATTGGAATTGAATAAGAGTCCTGAATATCTGTGTCATAAAAGGTGAGTATTGTACTTCATTGTTCCATAAATTATTCAGAGTTCATAAGCTGAAGTAGTATCTCCACATAAAGGACTTTATCTACAAATGTTAGATACCTACTTTGACATGACTATTTACTGAACTTTGTATACACTGGTCTGCATGGACAAGGCTATAATTATATTACACCAGTCTATTTCTGTATAGGTGTGCTTTGTTTAGTGGATACCTAATATTTGTGGACAATATTAATTTATGTGGAGGTTACTACTTTGTCTTACAGACTATGGTTAACGTATGGAACATTACGTTTTGCTTTAGGTCAGTGAAAACATTTTTTTCAATGTTGACTGTTATTTCTGTATTTGAAAATATCTAGAGCTGGGTTATATAGATGTTACTTAGTTAGACTGGCTGAAAAAAGACAAAAGTCCATTCAGTTCAACCATAAAAAAAAAACAAAAAACGTTATAATCCTACACCCACAGTTGATCCAGAGGAAGGCAAAAAACCCAGCAAAGCATGGTCCAATTTGCTCCTGCAGGGAAATAAATTCCTTCCTGATCCCCCGAGAGGCAATTGGATATTCCCTGGATCAAATTTACCTATAAATGTTAGTATCCAGTTATATTCTGTGTATCCAAGAAAGAATCCAGGCATTTTTTAAAGCAATACACTGAGCTGGCCAGAACCAACTCTTGAGGGAGTCTATTCCACATTTTGACAGCCCTTACTGTGAAGAAACCTTTCTGTATTTGGATATTACATTTCTTTTCCTCCAGATGCAAATAGTGCCCCCTTGTCCTCTGTGATGACCTCAGGGTAAATAGCTCTACACAGAGTTCACTATATGAACCACTGATGTATTTATACATGTTGATCATATCCCCCCCTTAATCTCCTCTTTCCTGATAGCTGAGCTCCTCAATGCCTCTTATCAGTTTGGTTGCCCTTCTCTGCACTTTCTCCAGTTCCCCAATGTTCTTTTTGTGAATTAGTGCCAAAATTGAACTGCATATTCCAGATAAGGTTTAACTAATGATTCATTAATGTGTCATCTATCCATGGGCAAATATGGAACAAAAGATCTGATAATTCTGAATTTGATAAAGATAAAAAGATACATTTTTCAAATAGAATACAATGTGTAAGTTGGCCTTATGATATGAAGATAATATTTTTTTATAACCATTTTAGGGCTTTGAATGATTTTTTTTTTATTGGTTGCAACTTTAGTGGCCAAGATCTGTTGTATACTGCTATATACACAAACCATTTGTGTACAGATCGTATGTGCTTGAGCAAGATGCAAGATTTTTTTCTTTCAAAGAAATTGTTTGATTTTAGAGAAAAAATAATGTACATAAATCACAGTACCAGTAGGCTTGTTATTTTCTTATAAACCTGTACAGGCTGTTGAGGCTTCCCTGTGTCACAAGTGGTTCATATTGTTATGGTTGCCACTTGGACATTATTGAATATATTCTCAAATCCCTATATTACTTAAAAATTAGAGCATTACTTTTGACACAGCAATGCTTCAGGTGTCTGTGCAGATGTAACTGAACAAGCTAGATGATTATTTTTCTGTCCTGCTTACAAGGTCATATATGTAAGGAAGAATGGGGTTTTGGCATCTGTTCACCCAGTATATTTCCTGTCCTTTAGAAACCAAAAGCTGTTAGTTGGGCTCTATATGTAGATTGGCCAGTAGCGGTTACTAGGCTGCAAAGCTCACGCTGATCTCACGCCAAAACTGCTAACTTAGACTAGTGCACTGAGTAACCACCACTAACCGCAAATAATAGGCATGTTGAGGGTGTGTGCTGGAAACAGACTGGGCGCTTGGTGGTCTGCTTTGGGAGTAGAGCATGTGGTGTGTGGGCATGAGGGCCAATCAGTTTGTATTGATCTGTCTCAAATTTGAATAATCTGTGATTTTACTTTCCGAAGTTTGCAGGATTTGGTAAGAGCACAATCAATGTTTACTTTTGATTTGTACCTTCTAGAAATCTAGAAATCTCAGATTTCTAATTGTAGTTGCAAACCACAATAAAGATTTGATTTAATCTACCAGTATAATCATGTAAAATAAATTGTAGTCTTGATTCTTCTTGACCAGGTAACTAGCATGTTGCCCAGTTGGTTGCAAGGCCGCCCAACTCAGTTCTGGAGGCCACAATGAGTAGTTTTTAGGCAGGTGCAAAAATCTTCCTTTGTATACTAAATTTTAATCAGTTTGTAACAAAATAATAAAGTGTGTCCCTTTAGGACTGAGTTGGGCAGCAATTATCTGTAGTTTTCATTTTAGCCTAATTTCAAAGGGTGGAGTAGAAGTTGAATGTTAAAAGATGCCACCTTCTTCTTCGTTGCGTGATGTGTAAGTTCATATCCTGCAAGTATCCTGCAGTGACCTGCAGCTTCATGCTTACATTCAAAAGAACTATTTTCATCCCAATTGATCATTTTCCTCCGGTAGTTTTAACTTGCTGTTGTCTTCAGCAATCATCCCAGCACCACACAGACCAAAGGATCGTTCTACAAATCTGTGTAAACTGCAGGCATCCCTTTATGGGTGTAGGATTACTTCAGGCAACTCAAAAGCTCTGGTTAGCAAGGTAGGAATTGAGGCAGCAGCCCATATCCTCCTATAGTCTAGCTGTACCCCAATGGGCTCTTATATTTTTTGGTAGCTACATATTTTTTTTCCTCTGACAATTTTAAAATCAAAACTTGACTAACCAGATAATGAGATACCAACACATTTAAAAATTACTTCCTTTGCTGTTTATTTTTGTTCATATTCTGAAATTATGGTTATTACTGCTACAAAAGCAGTATACTCTGGTTCACAGCTATTGTTTTGTTGCAGTTCATTCTGTGTAGTAAAGAATATTCTTGTACAGCCAGGTATGAAGCAGCAATTAGTTGGTAGCTGTGTAAACAAAAAGCAAATGGGTTTCTGTTCACTTGTTCTGTATATTTATAAATAGACTGAATCTATAAGGTGTAGCAATTGCGATTGCTGATTACCTATTCTGTGTAAAGTTTTTATTTTAAAAAATTATCTTACTTTTTATGAGCAATGTTGTTTACATGTTTTGCGCTCAGTGCACTCTGAACTGATACTATTCTGTTTGGATTGAGTGGTGGGGGGGGGGGGGGGGGGGGCTGTATTGCTCAGTGGCTTCCTACAGCTCCTGATAAAAAGAGAGGTGAGGGTTTGGAAAAAATAAACATACAAACTCATTAAGGTGAATGCAGCATTGGTCTGATGCTGCATCTGTCCCCCACTACCTCTAAGACCGAGAACTGAGCAATCAAATTGATTGCACAGTTCTCAGTCCTAAGTGAGCAGAGAGCCGGTGATGGCCAGCCACCGGCTCTCTGCTCTGCCTCTTCAACACTCACTGGATCACCAGGCTGTGTAGGGGATGGGAGCAACTGGTTCAGGCTGTCAGCGGAGCATTGAGAGGCTGAGCCATCTGCTGGTCCAGCCATCAAGGTGGATCCCAACGTTAAAGCCAGGATCCCTCCAGAGTCTGGACCAAATGAATAACATCAGGCGACAGTGGACTCTAGCCCACTGTCAGCTGAATCTGTACTTAGTTCTGTACTCCTGTGACCTACAGGATAAATAGGGCCAAAAAAGCTTTGGCCCTACTTCTCCTTTAAAGGCTAGGTTCACCTTTTGAAACATGATACCTGTTCCACCCATACTTTACGGTGGAACACGTTCCAGATCTCCACCCCCACCTGTGACAGTAGGCGGGGGATCTTCTCCCTGTACCCGCTGTCACAATTTGAACACAGCTTGGCTGTACGGGGCTCTGCCTAGACAGCTGCATTGTTCAGTCACAGAGTTCTGTGAATGAATGAACTACAAGTACCATCGTCTACAAGTACTAAAGCTTGTAGTTTCCTAATGAACTGCAAAGGCGCTGGTGAGCACTCTCATAGTTCTTTTGATTCTTCCTGCAATTCAGTAAATGCCTGTACTTATAGGAAGTATGGGCAGACAGTGTATTGAGAGTCTGCAGGAGCCTAGCATTGCAGCTGCAATCTTCTGATTTGCGTGTGGGGGAAAAAAAATGTGCATATTTTTTTACCTGCAAAAAGATGCGTAATTATTAATTCTAAAAAGTGAAAAAGTGAAAGTTATCCTTTAAGCTGGCCAAGTTTGTGACCACCACCTGGCTCAACAAAGTCAATTTTCCAGTTGACTTTTGTCAAAGGAGCTGGGTGGAGATTTGCTGACCGAACAGTGACTGCATCCAATCAGATACAATC